GGCATCAACGTATTGGTCATCCATCGTTATCGAAGCTTCGACCAGTCATTTCTATCGAGTCTTCTGTCTCTTCTTTAGGTTGTGAGTCTTGTGAACTGGGTAAGCACCATCGTGCTACCTATCAGAGTCGTGTTGATAAATACAGCAGTTCTGCGTTTGAGTTAATCTATTCTGATGTTTGGGGTCCTTATCGTATACCTTCTGTGAGAGGTTATAGATATTTCATTATCTTTGTTAATGACTTCTCTCGCATGACTTGGCTTTATCTTTTAAAAAAGAGATCTGAGGTTTCATCTGTTTTCAAAATATTTTACAATGAAATCAAAAATCAATTTTCCACCTCTATTCGCATCCTTTGTACCGATAATGCCTTGGTATACATGAAAAATGATATCTCTCGTTTTCGCAAATATGGGTATTCTCCATCAAACTTCATACTCTCACACTTCACAATAAAATGGAGTTGCTGAGAGGAAGCATAGACACATATTAGATGTTGCTCGAATGTTAATGATATATATGAATGTTCCAAAGTATTTGTGATCTGATGTTGTTCTCAGTGCATGTTTCCTGATCAATAGGATGCCCTCTTCTGTTCTTAATGGTAAAATACCATTCACCTGTCTTTATCCTGATAAACAGACATTTCCTGTGGTTCCTTGTGTTTTTGGATGTACCTGTTTTGTTCAGGATTTGTCTCCAGGACTGGATAAATTGTCTCCCCGATCTATTAAGTGTGTCTTTGTAGGATACTCGCGCACTCAAAAAGATTATCGGTGTTATAATCCATCTTTCAGGAGGTATTTTGTGTCCGCATATGTTACCTTTTTTGAGTCAGTTTCATACTTCTCTTCGGCTGGTTCATTTCCACCCATCAATCCATCTGTGCCTCTTCCGTCTAGTGATCCTACTATTGTTCCATTTCCTGCTTCTGTTCCTTCTGCTGATGGATCTTCTCCAGGATTACAGGATGCCTCTACTGTGCCACCTGCACCACAGCTATTACTGACGTATTGTCGTCGTCCAAAAGTTTATGTCCCTCTCTCTGCTCCAACCGAACAGTCATCTCCCGTTGCAGGTTTGCCTCCTTCTAATCCTTCTGATCTAGATATTCTAATTGCTCATCAGAAAGGTAAACGGTTTTGTACTAATCATCCTATATCTGATTTTGTTTTCTATGACCGTCTCACTCCCTCTTCTTGTCAGTTTTTTGTCTTTATCCTCTATATCTCTACCCAGGTCATATGAGGAGACCGTGTTAGTTCCTGCTTGGAAACAGGCCATGGATGAGGAGATGGATGTCCTTGTTTCTAGAAGGACTTGAGATCTTGTATCTTATCTAACGAGCGCTACTGTAGTTGGCTGTCGGTGGGTTTATACCTTGAAGTATCGCACAGATGATTCGATTGATCGTTATAAAGCTCTTGTTGATAATGGATATACTCAAACCTATGGGGTCGACTATCTTGAGACGTTCTCTCCCGTAGCCCGTCTCAATTCCATTTGCTTGTTTTTCTCTATGGTTGTTAATCTAGACTGGACAATGTTTTAGCTGGATGATAAAAATGTTTTTCTGTATGGTGACTTGCAGGAAGAAGTCTATATGGTGCAACCTCCAGGGTATGTTGCTCAGGGGGAGAATACTGTCTGCAAGCTTAAAAATGCGATTTATGATCTCAAACAGAGTCCACGGACATGGTTTGAGAAATTTAGTATTGCTATATCTGGTGTCAATTTCAAACGATGTCAGTCTGATCACTCCGGTCTTTATCCGACGCACTACAACAGGTCTGATAATTCTGATAGTATATGTTGATGGCATCCTGCTAACTGGGAATGACTTTGCTACCTTAGCTGAGACTAAGGAGTACCTTTCACGTCACTTTGTGACCAAAGATATGGAAAAACCTAAATACTTTCTTAGGATTAAGATTGCATATCAAAAGGACCGTTTGTTTCTATCTCAAAAAAAATATGTATTGGACTTATTAGAAGAAATGGGCCTTTTGGGGTGTAAGCCAGCAAACACTCTCATGGAAGTAAATGTGGATTTGTGACGTGATAATAGTCCTCTCCTAGATGACAAGGTTTTAAATATCGGATATCGGGGAAATATCGGATGACCAAAATTCATATCAGATTGCGGATATCGGGGAAATATCGGGGATATGTGGTAAATATCGGAATGTCATAATGAATGTTTGTATACATACTATAATGCATTAAAATGTAATCACAACATATGTAATGAAATTTAAGCATACAAAATATGAATAATATATGTTTAGGATCACTAATCAACCTTCTAAAACAAACAAAAGTGCAAAGCAACGTTGCAACATTCGATCTGCTTTTTTTAGGGCAAAATGTCATTTGATATAATGGGGAAATCTTGATATCTCACCCAAAAATTCCAAACACGGTATATTATTTTGCAGCAAGCTATATAAAAAGATATATTGGTCCACATATCAGCTAATATATCGGCCATATCGGGGATTTATCACTCAAAATAGCCAAAAAGCGGTAAAGGATATTTAAAGACCATATCGGTTGCGGCAAACCCTGTAAAATGATATATCGGGGGATATATCGAGCCATGTCGGGGATATTTAAAACAATGCTAGATGATGCAGGCCGATAGGCCCGATACAAGAGATTGATTGGCAAGTTGATATATCTTACTGTGACTAGACCTGATATTACATTTGTAGTGCGAGTATTGAGCAGGTTTATGCATAAACCTAGAGAGGTTCACTGGACTGCTGCTCTGAGGATTTTGGCTTATGTCAAAAGTTAGCCTGGAAAAGGATTATTGTATAAGAAACATGGACATTTACACATCTCTGCCTTTTCTTATGCTGGGTATGCGGGAGACATAGGAGATAGGAAGTCTACTTCTGGATTTTGCACCTTTATTGGAAGAAATCTTGTTACTTGGAAGAACAAGAAACAATATATTGTTTCTCGATCTAGTGCAAAGGCAGAATACAGGGCTATGGCTCACACTGCATGTGAGATGATATGGTTGCAAAAGCTGTTGACAGAGCTTGGTTTTACTCAGCCTGGTCCTATGCCTATGCATTGTGACAACCAGTCCGCTATCTATATTGCAAAGATTCCAGTATTTCATGAGAGAACTAAACACATTGAAGTTGATTATAACTTTATTAGAGATGCTTGGGAAAAGAAAGTGATCTCTCTTCAGTTCACTCCATCTTCAGAACAATTAGCTGACTTTCTCACTAAGGCCCCGTTTGACAAAGGGTTAATAAAGAGGGGTTAAAGAGAAGGATTAATGTACTTATCTCATTTGATAATCCAAAGGACTAAATTATTAACCCGTTAAATAAGTTTTATTTTAGCCCTTATGATCAGTTTTAGTGTTTGGGAATAACAATGATTTTGACTATTTTCTTTATAATTAGAAGGGTTAACTCTTATTCCATCTAAATAGGAGTATTAGTAAACCCCTCATTTTGAGGGGTTAACTCATTTTAACCCCTCTAGAGGGGTTAACTTAACCCTTCTATATTTTTTATGTTTGACAAATTATGAAAGGTTAACTCACTTTAACCCTTATATAGATTTGTTGTGTTTGGCAGGTTAAGAAGGGGTTAAGTCTCATTAACTCACTTTAACCCTTATATAGATTTGTTGTGTTTGGCAGGTTAAGAAGGGGTTAAGTCTCATTAACCTTTCACTTAACCCTTTGCCAAACGGTACCTAAAGCTACATCTCCTAAGGTGTTTTATATTTTATGTAACAAGCTAGGCATAGTTGATATATATGCTCCAGCTTGAGGGGGAGTGTTAGAATTAGTATTTGGGTTATCGGGTCAGGACCCATGTTGATATATATGCTCCAGCTTGAGGGGGAGTGTTAGAATTAGTATTTGGGTTATCGGGTCAGGACCCATTAACCCATTAGCCTATTACTCATATGTACAGTGTTAGAATTAGTATTTGGGTTATCGGGTCAGGACCCATTAACCCATTAGCCTATTACTCATATGTAACCCTATATAAACTCATGTTGATGAATGGAATAGATGAACTCTCTAACTTCTCAATTCTAACAGTTCCTTCGACAAGCCCTCCAACATTCTAGTTAGTAATAGATTAAGCAAATTTGCAGAATCTAGTCTCATGGTGTTATTCAATAATTTTTGTGTACCTTAAGACCGGTGGAGATTGCCCACTGTTTGCAGAGAGTCAGCAAGGACATAGTAATTTGATCGGGTCAATGCAGTCAGCTGATCAGACAACACTTTATATGTGTCGACAGCTAGTTGAATTAATCATCTTTGGGTTTAATGTGACAGTGATAGAACAGTTAAAGTGCTAGCATAATCCAAGGAGTCATTCGAGACATTCCTTAGTGAGGCCCTTAGTAGAAGACGTCTTTCGTCTTAGATTCGGGTTCATCGGCGGATCCCAGGTTAAAAATGCCTTTCGCCTGTGACTTTGGATGTTAGAGAAGTCGCCTATGTTCCTAAAACCACGTCGGGTTTTTAAATTTATAGGACGCGGCCAGTTAATCATGAGACGTGGCGGAGTCTCAAGAGTTCATTAGACTTAGGGTCAGTTTGGCAAACTACACAAAACTGGGCTAGGACCAGTCCTGGCCCAGTTTTGTGCTAAACTGGTTTTCATTTGGACCAGCACACCCCTGGTCCAAATGAATTGGTCCAAATAAAAACCAGTTTAAGGCCACTATTTAGCCTATAAAAACAGGGCCAGATCTGGCCATGTTGTTTGCCAAACAAAAAATCTTTCAAAACTGAGCCATGTTTGAACTTCGCCCAGTTTTGAGATATTGCCAAACACACTTTTAGTAATTCTCATGATACAATAGTAACAAAATATAAAAACAATACATAGCTCTAGTCTAAACAACAATCTATCAGAATTTCAAGATTCCTACTTATAACATATTATCAAGAGAATCAGTCAAATCAAATCACTATAATTCATCAAAATTCAATTTGAGAGCATTACCAATAAGAGAAGCCTCGAGAAGGTGAGTCCTCCACAGGACTTGGTCCATGGGACTGACAGTCCCCAGCTTCGCCCCTCTATTCTGGATCTTCACAATGCTCGCAACGCTCGACAGTAAAATCACAGACAGAGTGCATGCCAATGTTTTCACTGTCGCCGGCCCCTTCCCAGTCTTAAGCTGATCCAGCATTCTCATTGCCAACTCCCTCAGGGGCCCAATTTTCACCATAAGCAGCAATGCCACTGCCCCCTCGGCAAATAGCACAAGAAACAGCAATTGGATCATCTCCCCAACCGTAAAATTTCACAAAAACCCTAACTCTTTGAGATAGGAGGACCTCAAGCCGTCCTCTGAACTGAAATAATTGGAACTCTCAGTAAGGCGCGTTCCTTCTTGGCCAAGATCGAATCTTTCTTGGTGAATTTTGCCAAAAATCAAAATTTTAGAGGAACCCACTTCCTGAATCTACAGAAAAGCCCCCCGAAGCTCAAAAATTTCTCAAAGAAGAGGGTGGCCTAAAGAGATTTCTAAAAGAACTGACTTGGTATCGTAAAGATGACTCCTTTGCAGGCCAAAAGTTGGGGGGAGGGAGAAATCCAAAGGGGAAGAGGGGATGGAGAGAGCTCAGTTTCCTAGTTGGATCGGTGGATCCCATACTCCTCCGGTGGGCTTACCGCAACCTCCCGATTAAATGCAGGGGTATATCGGGGTTTTCACTATTCTTAAGTGATCCGATGCGTGATTACTCGGTGTAAACTGCTTCAATGTATCAGAGCAACCAAATTTGAATGGTCGGATTCCCTTGTAGAATATGCTAGTGTGCATCACGTTCAAAGCATGATCCTCTATTTTTTTTAAGTATTGCGTTTTAAACGTATCTCCTTCTAAGTTTTAATGTATTTAATTCGATTATTGTATGCTTAAAATTAGAAATTATATTTACTCCTCTATACTTAAAAGAGGATCTAAGTTTTAATATTTTTAGTTATGAAATCATATATACTCATTTATATCTAAAGGAGGATTTAAGTTTTAATACACTTGATTTGATTTACAGTTTATGATGCAGTAAAAAAACTGTAGTATAAACAATAACTTCAAAAAATAGTGGGAGATTTGTTTTATTGTTCGCGGTACAAGGATTTGTGAGCAGATGGACTTGGGGTCGATCCACGGTTCATAATTAATCTAGCATTTATTGTAGCATAAATAGTGATTTTTTGAATCATTCTATCAATATAGAAAAGTAGATGTTTCAATCAGTTCGGTTTGGAAAAAAAAAAATTCAACCCGAACCAATCGAAATGAGTCGTAACCCCTACTTGCAGGTTCATTGTTCTTCTCTAATTATGAAAGAATACTTGCAGCTGATTACAATTTCGTGTCCACATTTGCACTTTTGCACATCTTCAATAGTCGTAAGCTAGCTGATACCGACTCCAATTATGCCTTTCCTTTACAAACATTAGCCAAATCATTTTAGTGCATACCTAAAATGTAGGCATGTAATAATATTTCTTGTATATCTTGATTAATTATTTCTTAATGTAGCTTAAATTGAGTTGACGTAAACAAGCAATTTACGACTACAAATGAGAATTTTCTCTCTTGACAGACACCTCGAAATTGATGACGGATTGGCATCGATTAACTAGTATACTTCGGATTATCCCACTATAAAAAATACATTTGAGGATCCCTACTTTATTACGATTATTGGTTATTAAGTGGATCGTGTTATTAAGTGGATCGTATGTTTTGTCTTTTAGGGTCTGTTTGGTTCGTTTTTTAACTCGGTGGAAAAGTTTTACATCGCCTCCACATCAGATTTTTCGTGGCCACGTAGGATATAAGTTTTCCGTTGTTTTTTTTTTTCCCATCTTTGGTTCGCTAGGGTTGAAGAAGAGAAACTCGGTGAAAATAGCCGTCACATCAGATTTTTTTCTTTCCCCCAATTCCTTCCTCAACCTTGTGAAATCGACGAAAACTGCAGCCACGTCAGCTTTTTGCCATACATACAAAAATTTTCCCTTTTTTTTTTTCCATGCGAACCAAACACAAGAAAAATAAATACATTGGTTTCCCACTATTTTTTTGTGCGAACCAAAGCGAAACAATCTATTTCTTGGAAAAGTTTGGAAAACTCAAAACTTATGTTTTTGTACATGGAAATGTATTTCCCTATATCTAGGAAACGAACCAAACAGCCCCTTAAGTGACAATTAGAAATGATTACAATTCATGGGGATATGGTGAGGGGGTAGATTTAGAATGAATTACATTCACTCACTAGATAGTCAACGATTTTGATAAATGTTGGGGAATTTTAGTCTCCCCGCCTACTACGATTTGCGCAACTCGGAAGCCAACCAAAATCAACAAGATAGAAAATAACCACAATTAAAAAGAAAGAACACTAAGATTTACGTGATTCGGTCGACCGAACCACGTAAATCTCGATGTTCTTTCTTCTTGATTGTGGTTATTTTAAATCTTGTTGATTGTGGTTATCTTCTGAGTTGCGCAGATCATAGTAGGCGGAGAGACTAAAATTCCCCAATAAGTGGTATCAGAGCGACGATTATGGATTCGGGAGCGTGTTCACAAGATAGGCGTCATACGAAAGTGAAGATCGGCGGCGTTACAAGAATCAAGATGAAGAGAGAAAAAAAGAATGAAAGTTATTGCAGCAAATATTGTAGCAGCATAGCGATATTGTTCACACAGATCCGACGGTTGAGATTGATTTATCTTTTAATCGAGGATTTAGAGGCATATTTTGGTGATCAATGAGTCGTTCCTAGGATTTTCAACGTGCTGAGTTTGTTTTTTATGTCGGTTTTATCAAATTCAATCCCTACAATGACTGGTTTGAATTTTGATTGTGGTTAGAGGATGATGACTTCTTCGGATCCGAAGTTTGATATTTCGCTATTCAACGGCAAGATAAATTTTGTAGTATGGTAGATAAGGAAAACGAGTATGCGACGGATGAGACTGATATAGAGAATCAGACGTGATTCTAGTAGTAGAGTTGTCAGCATATAATTATTCAGAGCCATCGCGGAAGCATGAGTTGGTTGGTGTGTAGACTCGAGGAGGACAGTGCTAGATCAAGTGGAGCTTGCAAGCAGGCACGACCGAGTGACACACAAGGAGATGAAGATGGTGGCATTGGACTTGAAGATGATGAGCGCTCATATTCGGTCCAAGCCAAGTGATGGACGAGATGGAGACATCTGGCTCGTAGTGTGGAGTAGGAGAGGTGCACCGATATGATTCGAGACGAGCGATGCAGGTGGAGTACGAGGACAGGCAAGTGGGGGAAGGCTACTGTCAATTTTAGTTTGTGAGGAGAAACATGGTTGATTTACTTCTAATGTCAGAGGTGACAAAGATCTCTTGGTGCACACAAGAGAGGTGGAGGCGCCAGGGCGAAGCATAAGATAGTGATCAGGGTCACGAGATGTCCCAGTTAGAGTGTAGGTGATTCGATTTGAAGTATAAAAGAACATAAGACTCTAGCAGGAGAGTCAAAGTTTTAAGACGGTGATGATATATCTTCAATGGAGTTTGGGAATCAAATCCAATGTGGAGTTTGTTGGGAACTTCATGAGAATTAGATAGTGTTAGAGATCTATCATGGTTAGGAGATTGGGTCTCATCATGATTAGGAGTTTGAATCCTATTCTAATTAGGAAGGTAGGGTAGAGATAGAGTTTTGGTTTCCCTATATATATACTTCTATTGTTGGAGAAAAAAAACCAAGGAGAAGAGAGATAGTCAATATTCTTGTAATCTAAGGTTAGCAGATGGCGTAGCCTGATTCAAGAATATTGTGCAAGAGGCGAGGGTTTCGTAGTCTTTGTCCGTACAAAAGATTACATCATTGGGAGAGGGTTTCGTAGTCTTTGGTCGTTCAAAAGATTGTAAGGAGAGGACTTTGGAGAGAATATGAGAGTTGATTATGTATGTGAGGTTGAGAGATTAAGAGACGAGAGTTGAGTGATTCCTCTTGTAATTCTCCCTGATACATAGTGGATTTCTTGTATTATTGCCCGTGGACATAGGTCGTAGTTGGTCGAATGAACCACGTAAATCTCGATGTTCTTTCTTCTTGATTGTGATTATCTTATATCTTATTGATTGTGGTTGGCTTCCAAGTTGCGCAGATTGTAGTAGGCGGGGAGACTAAAATTCCCTAACAATAAAAAATAGTGGCTTCCCTGCTACTTTGTATTAGAGAAATAATCAATTCATATGAATGGAAAAGGCACCATAGTGTATGAGATTGACGATGAAGGATATGAATCCAACAGAAGTGAAAAACTCAAATAATAATGGTGTAGAGAATAGAGAAAACCCTAATTATTTATTGAGAATAACAAGAGAGATATATAGCCATACAAATAGGGTTAAGGTTAACGGGTAACAGCCCATTAACCCAATACCTAATATTTAACTTAACACTCCCCCTCAAGCTGGAGCATAGATGTCTACCATGCCCAGCTTGTCACATATAGTAGAGGACACCTTTGAAGAAGTAGCCTTGGTAAGAATATCAGCAAGTTGTTGTGAGGACAAAGTGAATATGAGAGATACTATCTTCTTTTCCCAAGCATCTCTGACAAAATTGCAGTCAACTTCAATATGTTTTGTCCTCTCATGAAACACAGGATTCTGTGCAATATAAATAGCAGACTGGTTGTCACAATGCATTAGCATGGGTCCAGGCTGAACAAAACCAAGCTCTGTCATAAACTTTCTTAGTCACACCATCTCACAAGCAGTGTGAGCCATTGCTCTATATTCGGCCTCTGCACTAGATCGTGATACTGCATCTTGTTTCTTGCTTCTCCAAGTCACAAGATTACCTCCAACAAAAGTACAAAATCCTGAGGTTAACTTTCGATCTCCCATGTCTCATGCGTAGCCAGCATCAGAGAAAGCCGAAATGTGAGTATGCACATGCTTCTTATATAACAATCCTTTGCCAGGGCAACTCTTGACATATGCCAAAATCTTCAGAGCTGCTGTCCAATGAACCTCTCTAGGTTTGTGCATAAACCTGCTCAATACACCTACTGCAAAAGTAATATGAGGTCTGGTAACTGTCAAATATATTAGTTTCCCAATTAGTCTCCTATATCATCCAGCATCATCTAGGAGAGAGGTATCATCACACCACAAATCAACATTTGCCTCCATTGGAGTGCTTGTAGGTTTGCATTCCAAGAGACCTGCTTCTTCTAGTAAATCTAGCACATACTTCCTTTGGGATAACAACAGGCCATGTTTTTGATTTGCAACTTCAATCCCAAGAAAATACTTTGGCTTTCCCATGTCCTTAGTGATAAAATGACGGTTTAGATACTCCTTAGTCTCAGTTAAGGTAATAGAGTCACTCCCAGTCAGCAGAATATCATCAACATATACGGCTAAAATAACCAAACCAGTTATTGTGCGTCGAAGAAAGACAGAGTGATCAGACTGACAACGTTGGAAACCAACATTAGAAATAACCTTGCTGAACTTATCAAACCAAGCTCGAGGACTCTGCTTTAACCCATAGATGGCCTTTCTCAGCCTGCAGATAATATTCTCCCCCTGAGCAACATACCCAGGAGGTTGCTCCATATAAACCTCC